ACACACATTCTAAATCACACAGTTCCACGCCACTGCCCTGTCACACAGACACACATCCTCCATCACACACCCACCTTCTCAGTCACACAGTTCCACGCCACTCCCTCTGTCACACAGACACATTCCTCCATCACACACACACACCTCATATAAACAGTCTCACGCCACTGCCCTGTCACACAGACACACATCCTCCATCACACACACACACCTCATACACACAGTCTCACACCACTCCATCCGTCACACAGACACACATTCCTCCATCACACACACACATCTTACACAGTCCCACGCCACTCCCTCTGTCACAAAGACACACATTACTCCATCACACACACACACACATCATACACAGTCTCACTCTACTCCCTCTGTCACACAGACACACATTCCTCCATCACACACACACCTTCTCAGTCACACAGTTCCACGCCACTCCCTCTGTCACACAGACACACATTCCCCCATCACACACACACCTCATACACACAGTCTCACGCCACTGCCCTGTCACCCAGACACACATTCCCCCATCACACACACACACCTTCTCAGTCACACAGTTCCACGCCACTCCCTCTGTCACACAGACACACATTCCCCCATCACACACACACCTTCTCAATAACACAGTCTCACTCTACTCCCTCTGTCACACAGACACACATTCCCCCATCACACACACACATCTTACACAGTCCCACGCCACTCCCTCTGTCACACAGACACACATCCTCCATCACACACACACCTTCTCAGTCACACAGTTCCACGCCACTCCCTCTGTCACACAGACACACATTCCCCCATCACACACACACATCATACACAAGGTCTCACGCCACTGCCCTGTCACACAGACACACATTCCCCCATCACACACACACACATCTTACACAGTCTCACTCTACTCCCTCTGTCACACAGACACACATTCCCCCATCACACACACACCTTCTCAATAACACAGTCTCCCTCTACTCCCTCTGTCACACAGACACACATTCCCCCATCACACACACACATCACACACACCTTCTCAGTCACACAGTCCCACGCCACTGCCCTGTCACACAGACACACATTCCCCCATCACACACACACCTTCTCAATAACACAGTCTCCCTCTACTCCCTCTGTCACACAGACACACATTCCCCCATCACACACACACATCACACACACACCTTCTCAGTCACACAGTCCCACGCCACTGCCCTGTCACACAGACACACATTCCCCCATCACACGCACACACATCATACACAGTCTCACTCTACTCCCTCTGTCACACAGACACACATTCCCCCATCACACACACACCTTCTCAGTCACACAGTCCCACGCCACTGCCCTGTCACCCAGACACACATCCCCCCATCACACGCACACAAAACCCACCCCTCACAGTCTCACGCAACACCCACACGTCTCTTTCTCTCGCACACACACACACACACACTCTCCCCCGTCACACACACACACACACACCTCAACACACACACACACACACTCTCCCCCGTCACACACACACACACACACACCTCAACACACACACCTCAACACACACACACTCTCCCCCGTCACACACACACACACCTCAACACACACACCTCAACACACACACACACTCTCCCCCGTCACACACACACACACCTCAACACACACACACACACACACACCTCAACACACACACCTCAACACACACACACACTCTCCCCCGTCACACACACACACACACCTCAACACACACACACACACACTCTCCCCCGTCACACACACACACACCTCAACACACACACACACACTCTCCCCCGTCACACACACACACACACACCTCAACACACACACACACACACTCTCCCCCGTCACACACACACACCTCAACACACACACACACACACTCTCCCCCCGTCACACACACACACACCTCAACACACACACCTCAACACACACACACACACTCCCCCGTCACACACACACACACACACCTCAACACACACACACACACACTCTCCCCCGTCACACACACACACACCTCAACACACACACCTCAACACACACACACACCTCAACACACACACACCTCAACACACCACACACACACACACACCTCAACACACACACACACCTCAACACACACACACACTCCCCCGTCACACACACACACCTCAACACACACATACACCTCAACACACACACCTCAACACACACACACTCCCCCGTCACACACACACACACCTCAACACACACACACACACTCTCCCGTCACACACGCACACCTCAACACACACATACACCTCAACACACACATCTCAACATACACACACCCCCGTCACACACACACACACCTCAACACACACACACACACACACTCCCCCGTCACACACGCACACCTCAACACACACATACACCTCAACACACACATCTCAACATACACACACCCCCGTCACACACACACACCTCAACACACACACCTCAACACACACTCCCCCGTCACACATACACACACACTCCCCCGTCACACACACACACCTCAACACACACACACACCTCAACACACACACACACTCCCCCGTCACACACACACCTCAAGACACACACACACTCCCCCGTCACACACACACACACCCGTCACACACACCCGTCACACACACCCGTCACACACACACACACACCACACACACCCGTCACACACACACCCGTCACACACACCCGTCACACACACACACACACCACACACACCCGTCACACACAAAGTCCCACATGACACAAAGACAAAGAATCCCACGTACAGCCTGGCACAGCCTGTAGGGGCAAGTGCTGTTTGCGAGTAGCACCTACGAAGGCCGGCACGGTACACGAGGGGGTGGGTGGCCAGCACCACGCCCGGCCGCCTTTGTCTCTCCCAGTCGCGATGTTTACTACACACGGAGCACCAAGTACTCATTTGAGGCTGAGTCGACTACCGCTATCAAGCACACGGTCTCAGACCACTGTCAAAACACAACACAGTGGTGTGAGACTGTCAAAAAACACACACACACACACGTGTCACGTGACTCCCCCATCTCACACAGTCACACACACAACCATACGGCACTCCCACATCACACACACTCCCCCATTACAAAGATGCCCCGTGTAGCCTTAACAGACTGTAGGGGCAAGTGCTGTTAGCGGGCACCTATAAAGGCCACGCACGTACTCACTCCATATCACACACGCACACAGTCTCCCATCACACACACCACACACACACACACTCCCCCCATCACACACACCACACACAGACCCACCCCACACACACACCACACACAATACCCCCCCACACCACACACACACACCACCCCCATCACACACACACCACACACCACACACACACCCCCCATCACACACACACCACACACACACCCACCCCACACACACAATACCCCCCCACACCACACACACACACCACCCCCATCACACACACACCACACACACACACACCACACACACACCCCCCATCACACACACACCACACACACACCCACCCCACACACACACACAATACCTCCCCACACCACACACACACCCCACCCCCATCACACACACACCACACACACCACACACACACACACACCACACACAATACCCCCCCACACCACACACACACCACACACACCCCCCACCCCACACACACGCCACACACAATACCCCCCCACACCACACACCACCCCCATCACACATACACCACACACACACTACACACACACCCACCCCACACACACCACACACACACTACCCCATCACACACACCACACATACCCCACCACACACACACACCACACACCCCACACACACCACCACACACACACACACCACCACACACACCACACACACCCCCCCCACACACACCACACACACACCACACAAACACATACCACACATCACACACACCCACCCCCCCACACACACACACCCACCACACACACCACACCCCCATCACACACACACCACCACACACACCACACCCTCATCACACCCCCCCCACACACTCACCCCACACACACCACCACACACACCACACCCCCCACACACACCCCCCCCACACACACACCCCCCCACCACACACACACCACACCCCCCCCACACACAGACCACACACACACCCCACACACTCACACCCCCACACACAACCACACACACACCCCACACACCACACACACCCCCCCCCCGACACACACCCCCACCCCCCACACACACCACACATACACACCACACACCCCCACACCCCACACACATACACACCACACACACATACACACACACCCCTCTCTCTCCCCTCCCCCACACCCCCCCACACACCCCATACACACACACACACCCCCACACATACACACACACACCCCCACACATACACACACACACACACCACACACACCCCCCACACACCACACCCCCCACACACACCCCCCACACACACCCCACACACACACCACATACACACACCACATACCCCCCCACACTACACACACACACACCACATACACACACCACACACACACACCCCCACACACACCACACACACACACCCCCACACACACACACACACCCCACACACACATACACCCCACACACACATACACACACCACACCCCCACACACCACACACCCCCACACACACATACACACACACCACACACATACACACACACCACACACACACCCCACACCCACCCCCCCAACACACACACACCACACACCCCCACACCCCCCCACACACACACACCACACACACACACCCCCCACACTACACACCACACACACACCAGACACACACACCACACACACACACAAACACCACACACACACCCCACACCCACCCCCCCAACACACACACACCACACACCCCCACACCCCCCACACACACACACCACACACACCACACACACACACCCCCCACACTACACCCCACACACACCCCCTCCCTCCCCTCCCCCACTGTGGCCATGATGCCGGAAGTGACCCGCGACTCGGCGCAGAGTTGCGGAATGGCGCTGGCGCGGCGGAGCGCGGCTCCTGCAGGCTCCTCGGTGGCGGCGAAAAGGAGGAGGCGATCGCTACTCCAGTGACACAGCCCCCATCCTCAACCACGAGCAGAAGAAGCAGCAGCAGCAGCCAGCCTTGCTCAGCCAGCACCCTGGGCGGTGTGGGGGTGAGGGCAGGAGGGAGGTTGGTGGGACGAGGGGTGAAAGAGCGGCGCTAAGGGGGCCGGAGCGCGGGTAGCCGGGGGTGGGGAGAAGGAGGGGACAGGGACCCCCCCTCCTTCCTCCTCCTCTTCTTCCTTCTCCTCTTCAAATCTCATCATCATCATCATCCTTCTCCTACTACCCCCACTAGCACCTCTTCATCGCCGAGGCTTTGCTTGTCCGTGCTGCGTTCGCGGTGTTCGAGGCGTCCATGGGGCGCCGTCACTTTGACGTTTGGCGCCTCAGCGTTGGCGACTGAGTGGGGATCGGTGGGGTGGGGGGGTGGGTCTTGTTGTTATTGTTTGTTGTTGTTGTTGTTGGTTGTTGTTGTTGATTCCACCCTCCACCAACAAAGCACCCGACGCGGCGCATGTTGATGTTTGTGGTTATTATTGATGCGTTGTTGTTGTTGTTGTTATCGGCGTAATCGTCATTAGCATCGTCGTCGTCGTCTTTTTTTCTTTTTCTTCTTGTTAAAGATGTTGGCTATTGTGAATTCCTTCCTGACCGCTACGTTGTAATCGGCAGTATCTTTAAACGAATTTTCGCTGTTTTGTGCTTGGGTAGATTTACCTTTTCTTCTTGATAATAATCATCATCATCAACAACAGCAGCATCAGTCGTCTTTATCGCTCCATTGCTTGTTCTCTTGTTGTTTGAAGAGCTTTCTTTTCTTGACACTAGCACCACCACCATCATCACCATCGTCACCTTACCACCGCCAACAACAATCGTTCCGCTGTTTTAATCGCCCCCCTTTTGTCCCCTTTGATGGTCCAACACCATCACCACCACCATCAACAACAACAACAACATTAGCGACATCACTAACAACCAACCAAACAACCATTATCACCACCACCACCACCTCGTCCAACGAAGAGCATGTACAAACACAAAAGGCTTGCAGTGGTGCAACCACACTCCCAACAACAATCAATCGACGAGTATCTGTCCAGCCACGGCCTCTATCGGAAGTTCATAGCCAAAGATGGGTCCTGTCTCTTCAGAGTCGTTGCAGAGCAGGTAAGAGATGCGATGTTTGTGTGTTTGTTTGTGTGTTTGTGTTGTGGGTTTTAAAGATGTCATAGCCGTCAACCCATACGATGTGGGGTTACTGCGTATTCTTGTTCAGGGAAATTGAGTTTGCAGGTCCATACGGCCTTACAGGCGTTTGAATGCGGGCACATTTTTTGTTTAATTTGTCTTTTTGTGTTGATCTCCTTGTGATGGGACTTTGTGGGATGAATGTTGAGATTATAAGGGGACACGGGGTGACCAGTAAGGTCTGACTTGGTCTGTGATAAGGTAGGGGGACACTGATAAGGAGTTGATAGGTATTAAATGTATGCCGTCGTGTTTGGTTAACTTGACATGCCGTATACGCTTGGTGTTGTGTCGTGTTGCTATTGTGTTGTGTTGCTATTGTGTTGGTAGTAGTGGTAGTGGTGTGTGTGCGTGGTGGTTGTGGGTGAGTTTTGGAAAATGAACGAGCACATGTTGAAGTTGTTTCGTGACATCTGTGAACATTACACGCCCACTTTCTGTGCCCCCCCCTCCATCATCATCATTTGTCTGGAAATGTTCATTGTTTTGAATACTCTACAACGCCCATTCACAATTTGACATGGCGTGAACATCATAATTACTGCTGCTGCTACTACTACACGTTTGTGTTGCGTGTGCTCGTTTGCAGTTCACAACAACAATGGTATTGTGACAGTAACATGCTTGGCTCTTTGTTGTTGTTGTTGTTGAATTACTCTTGTGGTGTCCTTTGTGTCCCCCGTCTTGTGGCGTGTAGGTGTTCCACACACAATCCCTCCATCTGGACGTAAGGAAAGCGTGCGTTGCCTTCCTGCGAAGGAATAAAGACAAGTTTGAAGCGGTGAGTTCTGTCTACTTGGCGTCTTACATCACCTCGTGTTCAATGAGCCCTCGGGCTCCCATTGCTGGCGGTGTTCATTGATAACTTGCTTGATGTATTTAGACGTTATAGATCTTGACAACCAGTGGCTTTAATCTTGTTTTATATACCGAGGGAGATTACGTTCATGGTTGTGATGGTGTTGCTGCTGGTAGCAATGGTGTGGGTGGAAGGTGATTGCAATGGTGTGATATTGTATGCAGACTTCAGTTTGACAACAGTGCATTTTATTGAAAGTTTTTTCATTGGACCATCAGCCAAAGCCATTGCACAGGAAGCGAAACATCAAAACAAGTTCTGTTACATTTGAAGTGAGAAGGCCAGAATTTTGGATCCTGGTTTTGAGGGTTCAACGGCATCCCTCCGCCGTTGATATAAAAATGAGTAACATTGCGTCATGTAAACATTGGCTGTCAATTTGGAAACAAATTTTTACCTTCGATGGGAATGTTGAATTGTCAGTAATTGACTCAAAGCCGCCAACACATAGATTTTCACCAGGACATTTATCAGCTGAGCAGGCACTTGCGTTTGTGCCGTATATACATCAAAGACATCCTATTGTAAATGACGTTATCATCTTAGCCAACTCTCGCAGTGTTTCCCCGACGACCTCGGCTTAGGATGTTAAGTTGTTTCGGTGTATTCATTTCGCCTGTGGACGCTTGCGCGAGGTCTTTCTTGGTTTTATATCTCATCCAGGCGGAATGAACGCGTCAAGAAATGTAAACTGACGCCGTTTATCATAAAAGTTACGACCCGTGGGTGTCTGTTAATCTCTTTCAACTACATCACGTTATTACCCAGTAGCCGTCACTGTTGCTACAGCATTTACAAAGCATACATGAAAAAGATATGTTATAGTTGAGGAATCGTTACAAATCAGTTGTTTTGATGCTCGTAAATTAACTGTAGTATATACACACAGTAAAACAATATATGACGTGTACAATTTTAAACAAATCAGCCAGAGTAAAGTTTATATTTTGTAAAGAATGCAGTGAACAATTTTGTTAAAGTTCTTTCTGGAATCATCAACTTTATTATGACTATAATACTTATACACAGTCTTTTCCCAAAGCGTACGTGAAACAGTTGGTAGAACTTTTTATCGCTTAAAAAGGGGTTTCGTCTGAAGCATTGTTTCTAAATTTGGCTACACAGTACCGTACATTGCCAGGTTATATCACAATTGGGGTTGCTCCTAAGAACTCTCTGCACATCACGAATATTAATAACAACTACCAGTGCAGCCATGGACATTTTTGGAACGACGGTGTATACCTGAGTAGTCCCGCAGGAGAAAATACGGTGGATTATTTGTAATATCCCATGACTGTGAGAGATGGCAATGTCTTGAATGGGGGCTTGTTGCAGCAGTGGATTGATCTTGCCGTTGATTATGACTGTGTGTACATATTCCACTGAGGTTTTTAATTGCGGAGATGCATTGTGTGATATTATGATCAACTATTGTTACAAATTGCCTGGTCCTGCCATCAATTGAACCAACCAATCAGTGTCAATGTTACCCAAGACTGAACAGTAGTAAAATACCGTGTGATTGGTTGGTTGTTGCCGGAAGGGTGGTTATTTGCTTTATTAAGGCCCGGTTGCCATGCCCATTTATAAGGTGGCTGTGGTCTTGCCTTAATGAAGCTGTAATTGGGGCTCTGTAACCAAGGCTTAGCAGTGGTGCTTTGGCGAGATCAATTACAATTGTATTTGTGTAATTCATAATGGTTTGCAATCACAATGTCATTGTTACTATCATTTCAGCTCTACAATGCTCCCGTAATTATAATTATAACTGGCCCCCAGGTATGGATGTCATAAGCTTGTCGTTCCTCAGCCACACTGGCCCTTTGACGCAACACAATTGACCCTGGGCTTCAGGGCTGACCTAGAAACCATTGTGAGGTTGTGGGGTCAACGTGACCCAGCGTTTACAGCCTGTGACATCACCACATCAACCGCTGACGCCATGTTGGATTTGAAACAACACTCACACAAATTACAAATGTATGGGTGTTTTAAAAATATAGCCCGAGTAATGAGCTGTAACCATTGAGGGTGACCAATGCGGAGATGGAGCGATTAGATCTCTTTGTGTGCTGGAGCGAGATGGATTGTTACATCGTTGTATACTGGTCGAGAGCTCGTGGTGGCATAGAGGGGCCTTCATCCAGCAGTGGGTAGATGATGATTTCAAATGCAATCCAATGTGCACTTGCAATTACTGAGCATTCTCCAAGGTCTTCACATCCATGTCGTCTGCCTCAGGGAGGTGTGACGATGTTGGTGTGGATGAGTGCTTGTTCAGTTCGTTGTTGAAATGGAACAGTTATTTGTGACCAACTTAATACGTGATGCAGGGACCCATACGTGACCAGGTTTAAAGCCAGTATATATTTAACTGAGCAACTTCTTTAAATGTTCTCATCAGAACGTTTGTGGATTTAATATTGTGGAGAGCACAGCGTGCGCGGGTTCAATAACATTTGCATTTTTTTTTTATTATAAATTATTTGATTATTTTCCGTATTATTTTGTTTGAATATTAAATAAAATACATCGGAGCTCTGCTAAGGTGCTTTTTGGCCTCTTCATAAAAGGGGGCCATTTCTTATTCATTTTTCAGGATATATTGTCCATCTTGGTCTGCCTCCAGTGTACGTAACCGACTTCGAGCTGAGTGAAACATTAGACCACTTTTTGAGGATCAGTGGCTTGTAGCTTTTGTTGGAGGAGGCTGGTTTTTTGGACCACTTTTGTGGTGGGGGAACAGATTGATTCTTAGTGGCATCACTTGAAGACTACTTGCCTGGACTGGATCAGCGATTGGCGTTCCCACATTTAATCTGGAATCTTACTGTCTGGCTGGCTAGTAAAAACCTGGAAATTACTTCTTTAGTGTAATGCTGAAAATGCAGTCTTTCACAAGTTTTGCAGCGTTGTGATGGATGCACTGTGTAGGGGCGGGGGGGGGGCAGTGGTAAAGTATTTGTGTACTGCACCACCACTTTTCTTCACTATATCTTTTACATGGCGACCTTAATGATTCCCGGCCACGGTTAACACCGCTGGCGAGTAATATCTGAACTTGCCCTGGGCCTCTCGTACTTTAACCACCTGCACTGACCACGGTGGCGCAGTATCGTCGAACAACCTCCGAAGACCAAAGGACAGAGGGAAGCCTCCAACCGAATTGGATTGCCAAAGGGCCGATAATGTATTATTATGATGATTAAGAAGGTGGTAGACATAGACTATTTTCATTTAACAAAATAAATAAGCACACAATGTCTCTTTCATATGTGTGTCTCTCCACTTGAAACATTTAAGTATTTCTCACGCAACCCATCGCCGCACAGCCTTTCTGGAAGTGCATAATTTCAGCGGCATTGACTCAGTACGCGCAAATTATGGACAGGTTTCGACATGTTAGTGGCTCATCAGCAGAATCGGGCTTGTTTGATTCCTGCCTTTTTTGTTTACTTCAAGTTTGTAAATATCGGTGAGTAGCATGTAGTGGTGTAAACATTCAACCTTACCTGGTGATTCGAGGAATATTTGCCATTCTGGCTCTAAAATCAATTCAAGAATGCATTACTTATTTATTTATCACTTAGTGGTTGCAGCGGTCATGTGAACCCATTACATATCTAAATATCGATTCTTACAACAGTGATTTGACACGCGTATCGTGAGTTGAATAACGGGCGTTAATCGATGCATCATTCTACCTCTTTAACTTACTGACCCGCCCATACTAGATGTCTGAAAAGAGCTTCATAGCTCATCAGCTTCCTCTAGTCGAAATAAAGATTCTGATACTTGTAGCCAGTAAAAACCAGTATTTGAAGGAAATTGCGACCCCCAAATGAAGACATGCCTTGTTCATACAAACTTTCACTCTGTTTTGGGCTACCCCAACATTGTCTTCGCTCACAATGAAACGATTTTACGATCTGCACAATAGATTTTGGATTTACATAGCGTCGAATTTTCAACCGAATCTCAAGACACTTCTACAGAAAAGGAGTGGGACATGGGCATCCTGGAGAAAGGGGCACAATTCACATTTACTTCCAAGTCTCGTGATGGAAATTACGGAGGTCAGACTGTTCTGTAATCGGACAAATGTGCTCCTGTTCTAAGTGACCTCAAACTGTACGAGTATTTTTTCTTCATCTTAATAACAGTTCAGGAAATACAGCCAAGGTTTTCTATTTGATGGTTGTGGTGCACGTTCATTTAAGGAGGTGTCGCTTACCTGTCTTAACGGCAGATCCATCGCTCATTACATATGTTTGCCCAAGGCCCCTGGACTAATTCAATGTTATGTTTTCACTTTTTCTGCACTCACTGGTGACCAGAAGGCACTTAATAATGCATCGTTTCACTGATTAAAACCAGGTCTTACTCTTGCGATACATGCATTGAATCATGAGCGTCAGAACCCATTATTAAGAGTTTACGCATATGATTGTTATACAGTTATCACACTTCAGATAGTGTATTGAACAAAACGGTACAATAGAGGCAGAAAAAAAGGAAAACAATACAAATGACACGGTAAAACACGATTACGAAAAAAACATTGATTCTGGCATTTAATCATGGCCTTATATCGGGGAAAACTCATCCAATTGGTGGAGGAGTTAATCATTGCGTGCCTAGTGACCAGGTTGAGACGGTCACATTTCTTGCACTCGCAAATCTCGTTCGGTCATGGTCGGCTGCCTGTACTGAAATCAACAATCTCGGATTTGCTGGCTCAGTGTTTCTGACTTTGTTGTTACGAGTCTCCCCAACTGTCCAGCCACCTCATTGCTCATTATTTTTTTCAAAGAAAATACTTACCCATGACCAAATCATCCAGAATGCACCCGATGTTGTCAGATCTCGGAAGCTAAGTAGGGTTAATTCTGGTTAGTGCTTGGATGGGCGACCGCTAT